CCCTTCCAGGCTCTGAAGAAGGCGATACTGCGGAAACGTCAGCTAGCGTTGTATTGTATTGTGTTTTTATGGAATAAATGTATGCTGTTTAAAAACCTCGCGATTGCTGAACAAGAAAACGGCACATTCATATTCCAATGCCGAGGTTAAGAGAAAGTCGATCCTGGGAACTATTACAAGAAATTGTAGTCTCATAGCACTACAAAGCTTCTGAATGGTATAGTTACTAGACGAATGCATGGCGTCGGGTTACGAGTGAGAATACTGGAGACAGCGTTGCTCCTTTGAATGAAGTGTCACACGATGATGAGCTGTTTGTTTGTATCTGCTTGTATCTGTACCATTTTTGTCGTGTGGGTCTTTCTGATTGTTACCTTCTTATCGTAAATCTCAAACCTGAGTGATGAAGCCTTTGTACATGGTAATAACACTGGTAGAGCAATTACAATATGACGATACCAATGAGTGTGAGCAGTATAAAAGATAAGGCGGTACCGGATTCTTTAAATGAGTTAGAAGTTACACTGGAATAGGACAGGAGATTCTGCAATAGATTAGTGAATTAATGTGGAAAAATGTGTCTCATAGAATACAACTTAACTAAAAACAGTGAGGAACAAGTGGTAGCGCGGAGTAAATGGGTCTAAATAGTCGATAGCGAGAGTAGTTTTTTAATAAAGTGGTAAAGTAATCTGAGGAAGAAGGGTACCGTGGAATACAAAAGTAGCGGTATGGTGTGATTAATACGGCAGAGGGCACAAGAATGAACGAGGAAGCCTTAATACATCGGTGATTATTGGGGTTATGGAATTAGGATCAGGTGATTATAAGCACTACACGTAACATTCAAAACAATTGAAACCTATAACGTGCGGTGAAGCGAGAACATTAGGACGGCGATAGTACCCAAGCGAATGGAACGATTACTAGCTGCTTTTATTTATTTCTGAAGTGAAGTGACTCTTTTTCATCTAATGTTTTACTTGAATATAGAAATCAACATGGAAAGAAACAGCAAAGCGCTTTTCAGTCATTGGTTTCCCAACTGTGTAGATGGGCGGATATAATGAAGATGGTGATAAGCTTAGCTGCTAGAAAAAGTGAGTAGAGAAGAATAAACTGAACGAGAACGAGACGAGCAACGGCAGCGTCTTGGCAACTCACCTAGACGATGAACCTTCAACGAATAGTGGTTAGTAGCGAACGATAGCAAGCGGTCGCCACTCGTCTTTCTATACGAACATCCCGAACGCTTTGCATTCGAAAATGCACTAAAAAAACCAGTGCGCTTTGGCACAGTCGAGCGATATTGAAGCAGATGGGTACGTTTTCAAGTTTTTTTCTTTCGTTGTCAAAAATGTTTTAATTTTAAATAGGCTTAAATTGGAAATTATATCTTGGAAGGGCTTCTACTTTTACAGTGATAGAACAAACGCATTTTTACAAGGTTGTGAAGAAATAAACTTCGTCATTTCTTTGGTTGTTGAAAATTTTCGCAAGATATCAGAAAATCGGCATCATTGCTTATGCAGGGCATAGAACGTTGAATTCTTGACCATTGATCCACTATTTTCATCATTGGATACCGACTTTCATTCAACCTCGGTGCAAATGAACACTGTACCTCATCTCATTGATCGGTTAACACGAGGTTGTTTCCAAATGTTTATTCGAACAACGTTTCGACTGCTTCACCCTCCTCAGAAACTTTCTTTTAGATTTCCAACTGTCATGAACAGAGGTTCCCTATAATATAGTATGATAACTTGTTTCTCCAGCAGGACACGATGAGGCCTTGCTGCGTACCGTTAGTGTTTGCAGCAACTTCGCTTTCGTTGGAATTCTTCAAGACTTATACCTCGCTTTCAAATTTTTTAGCCATTAAGGTGATAGAACAAATTCCACTATATAAAGTATTTAAGTCCTCAACTCCTCAAGTACTCTACTGATGGAATAGAAGAGAAAAGCCACTCAGATTATCTGTTTACAAAGTGAGATATTCTAATCGAGGTCTTAATCTTAACTGAAAACAGTCCAATTGTCAAATAAACCCGTGCAAATGGGGTTTGATGACCGAATTTTTCTAGAAGAAAGACATATTTTAGTGTACGACGTATTTAAAATGTGGATACTAGGCTGATTTCGTCAAGCGCCGTACGCTGCTGAGCTTAACCTTTGTAGAGCTGGCCACGTAGCACTCCACTCTATAAAAATCCGGTAAGCCAAAAGCCAGCAATATCCATGTGAGAAGTTTAGTAAAGTAGAAACACTACAATGGTGAGAAATCACGAGATATTCGACGTTGGAGTTGACTTTGAACAAACTCTACGTCGGCGTAGTGGAGCAGTGTTTACATTTTATCACTTCATTGTTAACATATTCATGACCACCGTGGATTTTGCAGAGTACAGAAAAAAAGCAGCAAACTTGTCTGCAGTTGAGACATAGCAAATCCTAGTTTTTTTTTAGCAAATCCTAGTTTACAATGTGCGATAAAATTGGGACAGCTAGAGAACTGTTGAACGAAGTTGAGAGCGTCACACAGTTATGGAAGAGGCTCTGCTCTATTTATTTACAGATACAATTCGCACCTGTATCCCACATTTTATTGGATTTTGCCACTTTTCTTGACGTTTAAAACTTATAGATTCTGACAGTTTTTAGTTCAATCTATAAAGTTGTATATGAGCAGGGATATGTTTGTTGAAAGGGATAAATGCTTTCGAGTATGTATGAATTAGAAGTAAAGATCCGTCAAAATATGCAAAAAGCAACGTCAATGAAATGACGAAGTTTTCCAAAATTGTCTTCAGGCAGATCGAACTTACAGTTTTATCACTCTTGACGAGTATTCTAGAGGATTCATGTACATAAGGCGCCTTCTTGTTCTAAATCGATGTTCTAAATTTATTAGACGAGCGAAGACCTAAACAGTTAGTCCCGAACGACTAAGGATGTGATGGGAAGCGAGGAAAAAAAGGTAGGGTATAAAACAATTTTATGAAATACAAAGGATCGCCGTATTGAAAACTCGTGAGGAAGGATGAGGCGTTAGCTAGGAACTTCGTAATATTTGCAAGTGCAGGGATTTTTTTTTTCGGAAGTCGATGAACCAAGTGTGCAGGCGGTCTTAGAGCTACGTCGTCGCTACAATTTGTTAAATGTTTTAGAGAGGACTGTTTTTCCACGAAGAAACCTAGGACTCTTCTTCACTGTTTCGTGGTCTGATTGAGCTTAAATTGTTATCATCCATAAAGAGTAAGCAGGTGTTCTCACTTTCTAAGAGCCCGACAAAAAAGGATAGGTGATTTTGGCCAACATTGAGATCCATATTTATTTGTATGATCTTATAAACAGATTGTTGAGCCAATACGAGGTTGGTATAGGTCTTCGTTGTCGTTGTCGTTGTTGTTGCTAGCTGAGCTAGAGCGACCACCTTACGTGGATTGGAGGAATTTACGTTGTCCCAGATTAGCCTGGTATCAATTTTCCGACCTCAAAGGGGTGAAAAACTTGGTGGCCCGAGCGTTGTCGATATAGGGCCCTAAGTCGGTTCGCTTAGTAGACGGAATCACTATTACTGTGCAACCCGTTTCCTATAGTAACATAGAGTAACTAATAACATACACACCATTTATTCTCGTGAAACGATAGAGCAAAGTATTTTCTACAATCGCCTCATATTCATTTCTTAAGTCCTCTTGCTGTTCCGAAACTATCGGTTATTGTCAAAAAACCATCAGTTGCACAAAAGCTGATAAATAAGCGTTGTCCCTAGCCACAGAGTCACTAAAATAACGCGCATACAATATTTGTTAATAAATTCAGATAGATTAATAAGTCCTTAACTTCCTTCAGGAATATCCTATACATCTTGAACACTTGGGCTGTAGAATCGTATTTGGGGGTCTGCCTTTCTATCTATCATGGTTCTTATTCTTCTTGTCGTTATCAATTTTCCGACTCCAGTTGAAAAGGATGATTCGTTTCCTTACAGAGATGAATCGAACCCATGACCACACGCACCTCTAAGCACTGTGCTATGCATACACCAATACACCAACCGGCACTACATAAAATTTCCTAATCACATTTAAAATGTCATTGATAAAACGGAAGATAGCAAGCATTAATAACTGAAGTAAAAATCATTGGAATCTGCAGGTTTATCGTTAATAATACGTAGTTTTCTATGCTATTCTGACAAAACTCTGTGTTTTGAGAGAATTATCCGCCTCTGTTTCCACCGTAGGTCGTATTTAAAAGAACAAGACGCTTCCCTTAAAAGGAAGAGTCCAATAAAATATTATACTTCCTTAATATATCCTAGATATAGCATTTATGTCAAATATTTCAAAAAATGCGCTTTACTTTCATTTCTAGGAGGACGAGATGTTCCAATTGGATGACCACGTAGAGATGTAGGGCACAGAAAGTCAGGGAAGCGGGATCAAACCATCGATAACTTAGATTGTGCAGCTCCCCTAGCCATTAAGCCGTATGTTCGGATATCTCAGAAAAACTCTCTGTGTCATTAAGCACTAGAATAAAGTGGTTTCTGTCGGCCTGTAGTCTTTTGAATCCCTCAAATGCTCGAGTTGTTGACAAATTGTGAGCAATTGTTGAGAAACACACTGTGTTGCGAATGGAAATTTAGGGAAGGAAGTTATCACAGCTGATTTTTACTTTATTACAGATGTAATCGGAACAGAAAAGTTTATACAATGATAAGATCTTGACTTTAGTCGAACTCGCCATGGATAGCAGAAAAGCTCATTTGTATCAGAGATAGCACTTTAAACTAATGAGTGGATGCCACCACCGGGAACATGTTCGAAATGAATAGAATCTTACAATCTAGCAAAATAAATGATAAATGATTGTAGTGAGTTGCACCAAATTGTTAAGAAGTCGCTTCGAAATCTTCAAATACAGTCGACTGATTGACTGATCGACTAGCGAGTCGATGATGTCATTGAGTCAGCGAGTCATTGATGAAGTTATGAATCGATACTGATTACTTCTTTGCCACTGTCACCGATGAACAACACTCGTTGAAGATTTTCAGTCAGCACATCAAGATACACCTAGAACATGATCAATATGAAATCATAAGCGATTCAACGAATTATGATTATTCAAGGGCACGCGTAGCGCAATGGTCTGAGGCGCCCTGCAATACATGGGATCGATCTCCGCGCCCCAGGCCCACCATGCCCTCCATTCCGGTCGGCAAATTGGTACCATACCTGTATGAGAGGATGCGAGCACTGGTTCGATACATCGGCAGGCCTTCGCAAGTCATATCAATAGGGAATTCATATGAACAGGGAAGTAGCTTAACGAAGTGGACCTTGTGCACTGAACTCAATACATAATTCGTATATAATGTGGGGAGATTGATCTGGGGAGACCAAATCGGCATAGAACCTAGTTAAGCTGAGGCAGACACCTACGGTCCGCAGTTTTGCAAATATCTAAGCATTATATACGAGTTATATTTCCCAACATACCCTACCATTAAGAAGAAAAAGGCAGTAAATAAAAGGGCTAAGATTGTGATCAATGAATAATCTTTCCACATGTTTATTCTATAACAAAAACCTCATCTGCTATATCTTTGCGCTCACAATAAATTATCCGCCACACATGTCTTGCGAAACTTGAGCCGTGAGAGCTATTCTCCACGCAGTAATAGTTTACAAAAAGTCTTTTCGACGAGTTTTTCAATGCACACAGCGTTCGCGTACGGAGCCCGCGTTGTCGTTGGTTAGATCTCGCTCCTCGAACTTGTGAATCTTTCAATCCCTCCAAGGTCTGAAAGTTGGTACCGGAGTTGCGTGGAAGAGTAACAGCACTGAATTGATACACTGGCAGACGCAAACCATTGTACAGTCCAGATATCCCTATTCAATCACCTCTAGCGATTATTAATCAAGTGGAATGCATAGCATATTGCTCAACGATTGATCAGAGCCGAAAGCGTTACCCGTTATCTTTTTGTAAACCGTGCAAGAATAATATTAGCTGCGATCCTAAACAAACAAAATTAGGTCTACCTGGTTATATGCAGAATTCCACAAACATCTATTGCTTTCTATTCGACTGCACCAGAACGTAACAAACTACGAAGTTGGTGAGAAAATAAAATTGGTAAGGAAAAAAAAGGAAAAAGGAGTAGCGGCAAATGAGGTTTACCATGTAGGAATGCTGGAATGTAGCTCTGAATTTCGGTGGACGCGGCAGATTAAGGAGCACCAGTTGTGACGACGGTGAATTTTCGCGAATGACATGATTGAGACGTACAGCGGTGTTCATCTTATGCACCTGTTGTAATAAGAAGTCTTCTCAAAATACGAACAAGTCAGAGAATAGAAAATAACCGTTCGAAAGAGTTACGCATTTTTTTCTCAATTGTTTACCGTCTCACTGAGTCGACGGAGTATTTTCGGGCATCATTTTATGGCAATGGCTCTACCCAACAGGGAGTATGTCACTCGAGGAGAAAACATGTTAACGTCAAAGCCCAGAAGTTTAGCTAAGGATTAAATCAATATCGAAAAACCTGAACAACCCGGAAGAAATGTAATCATAAGAGCGAAAATATTTACGATTTACTCGAATCATTCTTAATAGTTTCCGTTTTTCCGGTGATTGGTAGAAGGATTTGCATCGACCACAGGAATCGCTGCTGTCCTGGCAGTGTTCTTGAGTTATGAGAGAATCAAACTCCATCTGATCGAATCGTCGGTTATATTGTGATTTTTTTGACAAGCTTGTCTCGGATCTCGAATGGAACAGAACGATTGAGCCAAAGTCAACATGCGAAAAGAAGATGACGGACCATCAAGTTGTAATTGAACTCTCACATATCCAGCTCACTATCATTATTATTGATAAGCCTTTAAGACATAAAAAGAGAAAGTGATAGGGAGCTGTTAAGCAGCATATGGGGTTTGGCAACCTAGTTATCTAAATTGAAAAAATAGGAAGCACCATAAAATGCGGTCTGGTATTGTGCTGAATAGATTTAATCGGCCAGCGATGATTACACTAAAGTAAAAATTAAGAGGTTCTTCATGGAAGCAGAGCATGTAAGCAGCAGAGCAAGTATTTGATAATGGGTAAAAGTTGAAGCAGTCTCCTCAAGAAAGTATGAGATGCCTCCAAGATATCCGATTACTCTTTGTAAACACACAACGACAGATGAACAATTATTCAAAGAAAAGGTGCTCACGTTCAGCCTGACGTTGTCCGTTTCGCTATCTTCACTTGGTGTTGAAGATGGTCTGTAGAGTCCGTCGGCAGGATTGCTAAGAAAGGGTTCATGTAAGACTTCAAATGACTCAACTGATGTTGAGCAGTTCCTAGTTCTGACTTCGAGGCTTCATTGGCCCTCGGGACATTCACTTTCAGAAATTTCTCTGTTTTACGGTGACTCTTGTAACGCACTGCTTCAGACCAAATGCTAAGCTTTTTTCTTGAATCATCAACATTCTTATTGTTAGTTCAAGCCACATAACTATTTGGTGGCACTAAAAGTACTGCGTTTTTGAAAAGCACTAATTTCAACCAATGAACGCAACACTGTTCGTGGCCAATAGCACTTGAAACCAAAATTATTAAAAAGCTCCTTAAGCAGTCGGGTTGTCGACAACTTTTTCGACAGTCATGGAAAAGCATTGTCGAGAATTAACGCTGCAGGTTTTTTGCCAGTTGTTGTCTATTTTTTCTGTCCACCACTTCACGTCGTGTTTTTCCGTATTTTCACCCTTTAGTAAGCATACGGTTCTGGATCTTTTCTAGACCTGCCTATTTTTCCAAGTATTAGATAGAATGCTCTTATCAAAGCGAACTACAGCCAGTGTTGTGATACAAAGCCTCACTGTAATGAACAAATTTAACTCACTCTATAAATGATGTCTCAGCGTCTTCGTTGATATTAATGATATACGGCGTGAAACTGCGAACAGAATCTTCTGGAAAGATTTCAACAACATGGAGAATCAACAAAACGGACCAGCACTAGTGCATATAACAGTCGTTTTGTTATAATCTTCGTCTTTTACTTTTTCTCATTTTTCTTATAATGCGAAACACTTCCTTGATGCGCGCGTTCTAAAGGATTTTACCCCTATGGTTTTCCTCATAGATATGCTGAAGACGAATTGGACAATTCCATCTGAGAATGACCATCGTCCTATTAGCAACGCAGCTGCAACATGGAAAGTTCTGCTTCAACCTGCAGAGACGGGTACTGTTTGGCAAGGCCTAGGAACGGTCTAGTGGGGTATCATAACAAATATTCAACAGAGAATCAACTAGACCAACAGTACAGGGCATTCAAGAGCGTGAAAATATCCAAAAGCAGCAGCCAAACAGGTACAGGTAAATCTGGAGACACTAGCAAATGACGGGTGCGAGACGATAAATCGAATGAGGGAAGTATTGGGATGGGCGAGATATGTGAAGTCGAATCATATAGAAAACCTAGAAAGTTGAGAAACGATCGCACTCGGTAGAAGATGCGAGCAATAAAAAGCGTTCAAACAAATCTCTTTGTAAGAATTCCGAAGAATATCAGAGACTGGGTTTGAATGCCACTTCGCTCATGGATTTGGTGAGTTCTTCACTTTTCCACAACAAATATGTGAGTTAACATTTGTTATGGTGTTATGTTGCTAGCACCATACGGCTCACCTAGTTTAACCTTTCGACTGTTCATTGTGTCGTCGTTGTTGAAAGAGTCGCTCACAAAGCTGCTATCGGGTGATCGACTTTTCTGCAATACGGAAAAGATTAAAAGGATGAAAATGAGAAAGCTCTCGGCGTTGATCAATCCCTAAGGTATGCATCATGCATTCGACTTCATTAGGCACCGCCAGAGGAACTTCGATGCATATCTGGTTTGTGCAGTGACACGCGGTGGCCTACCGGTAAATCAAACAGTGCTGCTATTCTCCCAGACAGGTATGGTACCAATTTGCCAACCTCGGAGAGATAGCGGGCTCGGTGGGCCTAGGCCGCGGAGATCGATTCCACGTGTGTGTTGCAGGGCACCTCTGACTACTACACGCGCACCACGAGAAAAGGTTGCGTTCTATCAATCATTTTTGGCAAAAATTTTCGCCAGATTCGTCATATCGTTGTGAATTCAAAAAGACATGGAACAAGGAAATAGTCTGCGGAGATCAGTATGTAACATTTTACAAAGAAGTAATAGAAAAGATGAATCGATGAAGATCGACAAAAATCGACCTTTACTAAAGAGGAAACCTAACTTTTGGAAGGAGTACAACTCATATAAAATTTTCTGTAAAAAGAAAAAGTTTTGCTAAAGCTTTCGTTTAGATAGTTACAAGCCCTACTTAATCAATGGAATCGTTTATAGGGCAGCGCTCAAAGGTGCCCTGCAATATACACGCAGTTCACCAGCGTACCAATTAAAAACACCTTGGCAGAGCACGAAATGTTTTTTGAAAGTATTTGGTTGAGCACTCTGGATACCAATTTGAGCTTTTTAGGCACTGAAGGAGGCGAATCCGCTGAAACGTCGTTAATGTTCAAGAAAAATTTTTTCAAAATTTTGTATCTCAGGAAGAAGACATAAAATTGCTAATCAAGTTACTATTTTTGTCATCCCAGACATATCTGGTACGAATTTGCGAGCCTGAAGGTATGGAAGGCTCGATGAGCCAAGGGCGCGGCATCGAGCCAGCTACCGATGCGGTGTGTTTCGCTTCGGAACTCTGTGCTACAAGCGTTCTACAGCTGGGATACCAACCCTTACTTAGTTGAGACCGCACCTTAGGTTACTAAAAAGTCTAATAATCCATTGAAATAAAAATGGTTAACGTTCTATAAGACTCGGCGGGACCAAAAGAAGGTTATCCTATAAGCATACGAAGAAGAATAACAGAAAAATGAGGACTCCGTTGAAATTTAAGGCTAGCATTACCAGTCCCGCCGTTTGTGCTACGATTCTTTTCAAATGCAGATTAACCTAGAGTTCAAGTGTGATATATTCTGGGAGTGGAAAACTGAATAGAAGAAAAAATGTCGCAAAAAGTGAGAAATAAGAACTCAAGGCTGGTGTTTTTCTTCATGCTGTGAAGACGAAAATTACTGTAAAACAATCGATTTGAAACTAACACGAATGTCGTTCTTGATAGTTTGTTGACGTTTTTCGAGTTCCGCCGTCTTCTCTACAACTTCGTCCGACACTTCCATATCGAGGAGGTTCACCATCTAAAACACAGCATTAACTATTTGATAGTGCTGACAAACCTGTATTCAGCCGTGATGAACGCACTTTGAATGCAGAACTCAAGTCATTTGCCGCTACAGCAACCGTTTTATTAAAATGATCTAGAAGTTAGTACAGTTTCTGTCTTTAGAATATATTCAGGAATGGAAATTTACCAAAATAAATTAGCACGAAAAGCGCAGCGATTAGAGAATGACATTCATTATTACAAGTATGACTGCTGTCTTGACCCTGCTCTAGACTAACCAAGCTTCCGTGCTGTTGAAGCGTTTGTCCTAGCAAGTAGCGCATTAGTGTACCCTTCCATGCTCTGAAGAAGGCGATTCTGCCAAAACGTCAGCTACGGATATATTGTATGTGTGTTAATGTATGGAAGTAAACGTATGCTGTTTAACAATCTCGCGATTGCTGAGAAAGAAAACGACGAATTTATAATCCACTGCCGAGGTTAATAGAAAGTCGATCCTGATAGCCAAGCTTCCTTCTGCTTCAGGATCGCCGAATTGGTATTACAATTGTCTGACACAAGGTCCCTCCAATTCACGAAGTTGGCGTAATCCTTAGGTGAAGAGCGCTCTAATACAGTCATAGCACGATTCCATGGAGAATTAACTCAAACTGTTTTCAACGACTTCCATGGAAAAAACAGTGTCGTCAAGTGATAGACATATCCACAGCAAAACCGATATCGTTCGTGGACGACGAATCCGAGTACACTACTACTATTATTGTTATTAACTACTGGATACTTCGATACTTCGATCTCATCCTCACTGGTTGTGCGAACCCCAGCATAATCAGCATTTTTCGGAGATTTGCTGGTTTAACCAGCTTGGGAGACCTTGTTATGGGGATCCCAGCCATTATAAGGCGGTAAACCGTTGGGAGATATTAACTATTATTCTTACTGTTATTATTACTACCATTGTTATTACTACTGGTATTATTACTATAATTATAATTATAATTATTATTTTCTATAATGCTGGGATATTTTGCAAAACCCTGGACCGCAGGTGTCTATGGTGGGGAACGAACGCGCTATTGTCCTTTCCGGGGAATAACGCGTTCACCACAACACCATGCGGCTCTTTTGTTTCGCCTGTCTCTCAGCTGGTTCAATCGATCTTTTGCCATCAGCAATCACCCGTCAGGGCATTGATTATTATTATTATTATTATTATTATTATTATTATTATTATTATTACTCTTCTTCCTCAATTAGTTCGTATCCGTCTATACGACCGTTTATGTGGAACAGAAAATTGCGTAATTTGCCCTTTTGGCAAAAACGGTGATTGCATGAGTTCAGGTACGATATACCTAATCTTTTGTAATGATTGCGGGAACGAATATATTGGCGAAATGGGCAGACCTTTGTATATGCGCATAAAGAACACCTATATGGCAAATGAAAAGCAAGACAAGGCGCCACTAGAGACGCATAGGATACAAAAGCATAGCGGAGACAATTTTGATATAAAAGTCACTATCCTCGCATAGGATGCCAGAAAACCAGCGCGAAAGCTTCTCGAGGCTTTTTGGATAAATGCCAAAAACTCTAAAATGAACAGCTGGGAGGAATGCCCGAAATCACACGTGGTCTAACCCCCTACCTTCGCATCGACCGTTGGTGTGGGTAGGTGCAGTTGCCAACCATATGCGACTCTGAGCAGCTGCTCTTCCTCAGTAGGAGACAGGTGAAAAAGCGGTAGATTTTTCGAGAAGCCGTAGATCTTGTAATTATCGTGCAGATTCTCATCTTTCTGTTTCTGCTGTTGAGGCGTTTGACCTAGTAAGTTGCGTATTAGTGTACCTTTCCAGGCTCTGAAGAAGGCGATTCTGCCGAAACGTCAGCTACGATTGTGTTGTATGTGTGTTATTGCACGGAAGTAAACGTACGCTGCTTAACAACCTCGCGATTTCTGAGAGAGAAAACGAAGCATTTATAATCCAATGCCGAGGTTAACAGAAAGTCGATCTTGGGAATTATTGTTATTCTTAGTACTCATCTCGCACATTGTACCCTGCTATAAAAAAGTAGGAAAACAATAGAAAAAAATGAAAAAATAAAAGCTCAGCTTAACTGGTTTCAGTACCGATTTGCGCTTCCCAGACCAATCCCGTTGGCAAGTGGTTGGTGATAGCAGCGTTAGGGTAGAAAACTGCCTGAGAGAAAGGCAAAGTAAAGGCTTGAATGGTACGGTGAATAGCACGCGAGCTCCCAGAAAGGGTAGTCCACGGCTCGAAACCGAACCGAGGTTCCGAGTTTTGCTCATATCTCAGCACCATTGTAGTTGTATTTCAAGCAATGCTTTGTCATAACAAAATAATAGATAACAAGGAAAAGTTATGGTCGACCCGTCTTTCACATTTATTGTGCGGATCCCAGCACTTCTCGCATTAGATTCGTTTTCCTGCATTGATCGTTCACAGAGATCTGAGGTCTTGCAACTTTTTACGCATAGCTTCGGCTGCTGCTGGAGAATTTTCTTCCCATTATAAATGTAGTTGAGTGCTGGTCGAGTCAATTCTTCCTGGAAACCTGAGGTAGACGAGCTAGAGCGTTCCCATTTGTATTGGAGAGAGTAAACGTTTTCCTAGACAATTCCGTTACCAATTTCCCGACCCCGGAAGAATGACAGGCTTATTGAGCCCGGAGCGGTATCGAAACAGCACCATACTAGAGAAGATCGGCATCACCACCGCTGTACCATTAATTCCTATTACTTTCATTATTATTTTTTATCATAGCTGTTATTATTTCTATTATTATTATTATTATTATTAGTGTTATTATCATTATTACTACTGTTATTATTACCAGGGTTTGTTAGAATCTTGAAGCAACATCAACAGAAAAAAAACAGCTGTTGCGATTACAAAAATACTTACAAAAATTTTAGCATCGATACGTAGCATGTAGATGTATTTTTGTAATCCTTTACGAATATCCTCATTTTTAGTGATATCGCTATCACCGATAGCGAATACTCGAAGCGTACAGCCACGCCATACCTGGAAAAATCAACCATGGATTTCGATAAGTGATCAATGAATTTTAGGTTATAAAAAAAGATTAAAAATGTAGCAACGTTACATCAGGTTTTGAGATTTAGTTCCTCTCGAGATTTTTTTGGCAACGTTTACATGTGCTGTCGATCTACTTAGAAATTTTTCATTTCATACTCAGAGTAATCTCTCGGATGCTCGGATGGCCTGTCTTTACTGGTTGTGCTAGCTCCAGCATAATTTTTATTTCTTCGAAGTTTTGCTGGTCCAGCTGTTGTAGCTCCCTGAAATCCCAAGATCGACCTGGCCAAGGTCTACCTCAGGTCCTCACCACCATTGGCGGTCGCAGTCCTTGTGGATCTGAGGGAGATTGCGACTAGTTTAATACCAGGACTGTGGAAGATTCTGGTAATGGTTCGGTCTTAATTGGGTTTTCTAATGGAAACGCCGGACTCATTCTCAGCTAAGGAGACCCTATGAATAATCCCGCTGTACACGGTAGCCCGGCATCCATTAACAACTCCCAGCCACGATGAGGCAGTAAGCCGTTGCGACGTACTCAAGGTAGTAATGAATTAAATCAGCAAGGGGATTACATATGATGTAAAAAAAATCAGGTAAGAAAGTTTGAACTTTTATCTAGCTAAATGGGGGTGGTTAAAGATGGATGCAACACTTAAAATTTTTTTACAAGTTCGATCCCACCGCAGTCAATCAAGGTTCCCATTCCTCCAGATTCCAAAAATAATAAGGACAAATCTAATTCTTTCCAGTTCGCGTGAAGCAGCCCTTTGGATATGTTGTCACAAGCTTAATAACAGAGTTTTTTTCCAAGTTGGTGCCACTCATCCTTTATGTGGTTAAGATTTTTCTACTATAGGGATAATGCAGACGAGGAAATAGCACTAACGGCATAGCATTCTGAAGCCTGGACGCGGACCTATCCTATTGTGTTCCACATTCTAGAAAGTCAGTTACCTTGTAGGAAGTGACAAATATTGTAGTAGAAAGTAGTGAAAAATTTGTTCAAAGTAACTCTCTTGGTAACATATTGTTAAAATTCTTAATAAATAAAAAAAGGATAGAGCTCTCGGCGTTGATCAATCCCTGAGGGATGTGCCATGCATTCGACATCAATAAGCATCGCTCGCAGGTGATTGAATGCATATCTGGCCTTTACAATGACTCGCGGTGGCCTAGCGATGTATCGAACCAGTGCTGCAATCCTCCCAGACAAGTCTGGCACCAATTTGTCGACCCTTGAGGGATGGAAAGCTTGGTAGGGCGAGGGCGCAGGGAACGATTCAACGTGTGTGTTGCAGGGGGCCTTCGACCACTGCACCACACGCGTCTCCAAAATTGCTAATAATACATCAATATTACGCTCTTACAACTAACCTTATGTTGCTTGAGAAGATATGCGATAAGCATTAGAATTCCACCATCCATCACAATCCACCAAATATCGATATATCTGAGGTATTTGATCTATTATTTGATGCTGTACTGTCGTACTTATTTGGACAAAACTGTCGCCGAGTGATAAATGTTTTGTATTATACAACTAACCCAGTGAGCCGATTGTTAGCATCCGGAAAGTCTGTAATACCCTTCACCACGAGCATGCAGTAGTCATTTGTCACGCCAAAGATGATCTTCTCTGAACATTTAGACCCTGGCTATACGTTTTTTGGTATGAACAAGTAAACAAGCTTTATTGAGAGCCTTTTGTTAAATTTTTCAACCACAATAAAACTGTCATAACAGGTATGGCACCTACCTGTGAATAGTTTAATCTCGCTACTGTCGTCAGCCTTAGGCCAATTTAAAAGCACGGTGTTCGGACGTAGACCGCCAATGCCGATAGACTGGTAGAGTGCAGACACGCAACCGCTCATCTGTAATTCAGGGATATATTGAACCGAATATCTGTCTCCGCGTCAATTGAATTGACTACTTTCAGGAACGGCTTCCAAATAAACCTACTGAAGCGTCAGTAAATCTTTTCATTGCTTAGTATTTCGTAAAAATAAAAGAGAACGTTCATGACAGTCGTGCCTGCTCATCTGTATAGAAAATAGTTTTTCCAAATCCGCGTAATCGCGCCTTCGACATGTCCTTTGTGAGACGATCTTTCACCTTCAATTAACGAATCAATCATGACAATGTATGCCGCCTTTGCAAGCTGCATATGCAACCAATCAGAGAGGACTAATAGATTAATCACTTCTTGATTCCTAGCTTATACTTACTTGAATGACTCATCCTCACTGGTTGTGCGGGCCCCAGCACAATCTCCATTTCTCGGAGACTTGGTGGTCAAGCCATTGTGGTTCCCTGGAATCATGCGGCAGCCTGCGCAAAATCTCCCCCAGGTCTACTACCGGCGGTCGCGCCCTTGTGGATCAGAGGAAGATTTGCCGCCATCCGACTTTGATACCAGGACGGTGGTGGATCCTGGTATTGGTTTACCGTTAGCTAGGCTTCTTGATAGAAACTCCGGACTCTTTCTCTGTCTGGGAGACTCTGCCAGGGGAATGAATCTTCCGCTGTACATCGCAGTCCGACACCCAGGAACACCTCCCAGCGACGATGAGGCGGTAAACCGCTGTGAGATCATTCCTAGCTAATTTCAAGAATATCGTTACTACGATTTATGAACGTACATCTTGTGCATGAAGTTTGTCTTTTGCGACATCGGATGATTCCTTCAGGAATGCACATGCTATAGCCAATCCTTGTCCGGCCTGTAAAGGTTTCTACATACGATCGATACTCACTCATGCCATTCATCTTTAGAATATTTCATGTCTCAAAATTTGCAGTATTATCATAGCTTTACTGATTTTACTATGATTCATTAGTCCTAGTCTATTCCATTACTGAGCAAAATACAGATGTTCCTTATAAAGTGAACATTGTACTCGAAATCACCGCCATGTCATCGACTCACTGGCTAAGATCTAAACCATAAGCTCAACACTTAATCAATAAATCATCTAGAAGTGTTTGTAGCAAAGGAAAAAGAGATTTTTAATAAGAAATTGCGAAATGAAAACGGAGTGAACACAGAGATTTTATTTGTTTAACAAGTAAAAGGGAAATTAATTAAGTAATTCTTCCAAAACTCCGAAAATGAACCGCAGGGAAGAGTGCCTCATTATCACGCGTGATATAGGGCAGTATACAAGACTGCTATTCTGATGGGAGGGGCACTTTATACTTCCATGTGATTTCTGTGCGGTTGGTCTCTACGTGACATACTTAGTAGAAACCTCATAGAAAGCGGTGAGTGTGCAAAGCTGTGTTCAAAGTGATTGAAATCTTGGTTTGGAGTTTCTTTGTTTGGTTATGGAGGAGTCTGGCCGAGTAGATTGCTGTCAACTTGACCTTTCCAGGCTCTGAGGAAGGCGAAATCCGCCGAAACGTCAGCTTTAAGGTGATAAAGAATAATAACACCTCGCGTTTGCTCAACAAAAATACGAAGAATTACTTGATCAATGCCGAGGTTAATAGAAAGTCGGTCGTGGAAATTAATTAAGTAATGCTTTACTGTAAGCGTACAAATTACTATGAGTAAATAAATAGACATAGAAAGAAAGTGATGCAGAAAAACCTTAAGCTGAGCAGCAAGATTGAGCATGGACATCGCTCTCAGATCAATAAGTTCCTTGGACCAGTGTGTTAAGAGGCATATAAGCAATTGTGGTCGCCAGTTCTTCGGATGTGGATCCTTATCCTCGACCTACCGTAATCGGCTATAGATTTATCATTTTTATCACATAAATCTATAAACTATAGATTGTTTGCTGATAAAAAAAATGAACAATGATGAAGGAATCATTTATGTAAAGTGGAGTGTAGGAACAATGTAAATTCGTTGATCATTGCCTTCTAACTGATTTTACTTCTAGTTCCTCAAGAAAGCTTTGGAATCTCACCATTTTTTTGTATCAGTTTTCATAAAATTTGCGATTTTATAAGAGCTTACGAGATTATACTTAGCAGCGAACTTTTGGCGCTTGAGTAGGTACACACCTTTAGAAGAGAGTATTGGGCAGTGGTGAGAGCTAAACCACGCATACCATCTCCCCATTCCTTTTTAGCTCTGAAAAAAAACTGATCTTTCGAATTCCACTTTTTAAAATTTGGGCCAATTTATTTCATTTAAATGAAGTTCAATAGGTTTGAAAGGTGATTTTACGGATTCGAAGGTAACTGGACCTTTTTGTGAATTTTTTGCAGCTTTCTTACTCTCCTCGCTCATCCAACCTCTTCACGAGAGCTTTTCCTTTCTGGCTTGATACCTTGTTATTCTAAGTATACCACAGGATGGACGGGAATAACCCACTAGCGTCGAGGTGAGTTGTGCGCGACACAAGCGTTTAGTGGGAAACAGCCGAGAAGAGTCATATATGATACGTCCAGCTTTGGAGCGAGTGGAACACCATTTAAAGATGTTCAACACGCGTCGGGCGGTAAAAGAGTTGTTCTCCACTTAGAAGTGTACAGAAGACCTTCCAAATTCATATATATGTAACTTGACTGATGACTGAGTGTTACTTCGTACCAACCATAAGATATGCCAAAATACAGTGAACGTAAGCTGCAAAAAAATTTCAGATACTAGCAGCAGTGTGCTTCTAAATAAACCGTAGTAACATGTAGCAAATAAATAAAGAATAAAATTCTCAGCGTTGATCAATGTGAGAGAGATGCGCTATGCATTGGACTTCATTAAGCATCGTTAAGGGGTGATTGAATGCATATCTGGCCTTTTACAATGACTCGCGGTGACCTACCGTTGTATCGAGCCAGTGCTGCTATCCTCCCAGACAATTTTTTTTCGTGTGCTCTTCATTCATAAACTGTCATAATCTGGGATGAGCAGGATTTCCACATGGACACAGGAAACCAAAACTGATAACCATATCAAACATAAAACAGACCACCTCTATTGGTGTCGGGATAGAAAGAACGAAAGTAGAAATTGTGACGGAGCCTAGACACTAAGATAGGCCTTATAAATATTAACGAATAAAGCTAAAAAACCTTTCGGTGTTGATCAATGCATGGGAGACGCAATATGCATTCGATTTCATTAAGCATCGTTGGAGTTGATTGAATGCATATCTGGCCAGCCATTACAATGACTCTTAGTGATCTACCAATGCATCGAGCCAATGCTGTTATCCACCCAGACAAGTCTGGTACCAAATTGGCGACATCGGATGCGTGAAAGGCTAGGTGAGCCATGTACGCGAGGATCGATTCCACATGTGTGTTGCAGGGCGCCTTCGACCACTGCGCTACACGCGCCATTTTAGTAAATGCTATTATACATAAATGCTAAAAGTAGCAAATATTTTTTTACATAAAAAGATCGGTAGCTTCTTCTAGAGCTCTGTCATGTCCCCAATTTCTCAAGCCCTCCAATTTTTTCTATACGATCCCTCATTACATGAACTGTACGAATCCTAATATTTCTTGTAGCCGATTTGTTTTCTCGTATTCGCCTTGTTTATGAATGACGTGGAATGCTGGCGAAGTTGATTCTCCTTGCATTATATGATGGGAGACACCCGAGCTAGGGCGTTCCCATGTTGACAAAGCGTTGGGATGGGGTCGAACCAGCGGTTTGCTTCCTGGTTAACGGCATCACTAACCATTGTGCTGCACCCCACCCTGGAGTCTTCTAATTATTGAGAAATTATAGTCCGTAGGTCGATAATTTAGAAAGCTCGAAACGACATGAAATTAAGAGCCGTTCTATTTGCCCGTCCCACAAAATCAGGTGTTGGTACCAATGGGTTAAGTAGTATTGGAGAATTTTAAATCACTAGGCATTTTAGAACACGTACGCACACATATGTGTTGTAGGATCTTATTACGTTATTGATTGAAACCGTATTGTTATTATTCCTTAGACTTAAATTGTGCACAAAAAAAAGAATTTTGAAAGAAATCAAAGGCAATACCCTTTCCACTCCACGTATTTATAGATACTAAACGTTATCGCACAAGCGGAGAGTGCTAAAAGCCAGTCGGAAGCGAACATGATGAAGAAGCATAAGAAAGCACCCATTAGTGACAGCAACCTGGAATTGTACTTCTTATGGTAAGATGTAAGGGGTGTGTAAGGTAATTGTTCTAGGTGCCCTGCAGCACATGTATACTCGTTTGTTAGATCTCACTTTGGGGTGAACTAAGCCGTCCATCCCTCAGCACTCCGCAAATTGTTACCAGAGCAGTAAGGGAAGACAAGAAAACTGATTTAACACACAAGCAGGCTCCTATAAATCAGTGAACAAGCCAAATATGAATCCAGTTATCTCTACGGTGCTTAGTGGAGTCGTATGCACATGGCGCACCTATACAGAAATTCAACAGCACCGAACGTTCTCTCATTACGCTTTTTCCGACCGCAATTATATGAGGTGTAGGTGATTGATGACTTGGATACGACTCGTTCCTTAGTTTAAAAAAAACCCGCTGTGTTCATGGCGTTGTTTTGCTCATTAGCATGCACGACTATTCATTTTTACCTCTAATCACTGCCGTATGAATTCATTGGCGACACTCATTCGCGTTAGCGGGTTATTGCTGATTGCACCGTTAAGAGTTAAAAAAGGCTGGCTGACAGAATGGCAAAGTAAGGGCTTTGCTCTCTGGTAAGGATAATTGCCTGTCCGAATCTGGTGTGGGGCTTGAGTTTCAGCAGATATCTCAATATCGCTGCGGTTGTATTTCACATAATACCGTACCATGAAAAAAAAATATACGGTAAATAGTAGTTAAATATTGTGATTTTGTAAATACCATGCATATACAAATTGGTCTAAGGGTTGTTGATTGTGTGCACTGTTGGATAACTAATTTTGTTAAAAACAAGGACAGAACTGTAAGACGCTTACCAGTGAAAGTATTTGAAACGTGGTCGCCAATTCGGAGCTTTCAGTACGGAGTGCAGAACAGCGATCAAATTCACAAACGCGTAACACATAAGAAAGAAGAAATCAAGAACCTGAAAAGAAGAGAAGCAAACGAGATCAGAAGCTTGTTTCGGCACTTCTTCTTAACACGTAAGCTATATGTAAAGACACTCCAATATTTGATCGCACAGAGACCATATGTTAATGCAAGTTGCAAACAGGTCCGACGTTGGATGAGCAAGGGTACTAATTTTTCCAATCTTTCACAGATTTATTCCTTTCTGAACAAACCTCGGCAATTTTGTCCACTGCACCCAGCAGTATTGCTAGTTCGGCGATGAATGTCGTCAGAAGAAGCCTAAAAAGTGAAAAAAGTTGGATTTCTTCTTGTTTACAGTTCACAGTATTCATATTGCACTGTAGTAATTTACCAGTAATGTGTTTTTTTATTTAAATTTTGTGCAATCCCGTCTTAACGTCTACTGTGTGGCCGCCAGCACTTGTTGCACTTGATTCGTTTCAACGCAGCCATCATCCACGAAGGTGTTTTCAGCCTTTGTGTGTGACTTTCGCTGTTGATTGAGGATTGTTGTATTTTTTATGAATGCTGGTAGAGTAAATTCTCCCCTTGAGCTCTGCGATAGCTGTGCTAATGCGTTCATAAGTGAATTTCAAAAAGTGAGTTGAGCACAAACAAGTCTGCTACCAATTTCCTAACCCCAGATGGATGAAAAGTTCGGTGAGCCCGAATGGGGTCGAACCAATACCTTACTCTTTTAGAATGGCACCGCTACCACTACGCTACCAAGTCCGTGCAGATATATATTGAAGCAGAAATATTTTAAATTCTTTTTGCTTACCCCAGAAACGGCTCGTTTTTCGATGTTACGCGTGCAAACGGTACCAAGATCGGAATTACATCGTCCTTGGCGATTGATTGCAGCAAACGTGGAGCGCCTGAAAATTAGAACACGAATTTCACGTGGACAAAAATTCTGGTGAGCAATAAGTACTTCAGGGTCGCACTAACTACATAAGCATTGAAGAGCAGCTCCGAACGTGCTGAGAAACGAGCCGACGGTGACAACCCATGGTGACGGCCACGCAAGCGTCGACACCACCATGTTGTTGTCTATGGATCGGCCAAATCTGAAAAGATGGAATGTGTGCTTAAGAAGTTACAGCGCTTTATATACTGATTATACGAGTGTGTGTAGCGCAGCGGTCAAAGATGTACTTTGAAGCACAGACACAGTCGACCTTTCGATTTGACACCCAGACAAACCAAACACACCATCTGTTTGGGGTCGGCAAATTAATACCACACCTATCTTGGGAGAAAAATACGTGAGATCCTACAAGTCATTGTGTGCGTCATATACATATTAGGCCCATCAACAATCTACGAGTGAGGTCGAGGCACATCTCTGAACGATTTATCAACTCTGTCTGAAAGCTTCATGCTTCGTGCTTTTTTGACGTTTTAGAGGCATTTTAAGTGGATTTTTCTTACCTACTTTCACCTACTCATTCACGCACTGGGCGTGCGTGGTGCACAGGTGGGAGCCGCCCTGCAATACACACATGGGATCGCTTCCCGTGCCCGTAGCTCACCAAGCCAACCATCCATCTTGGGTCGGCAAATTGGTACCAGACTTATCTGAGATGATAGCAGCACTGACTCGATACATCGTTAGGTCACCGCGAGTCATTGTAAAGGCCATATATGCATTCAGCCACCTCCGACGATGCTTAATGAAGTTGAATGCATGGCCCCATGTCTCAGAGATTAATGAACGCCTAGAGTTTTATCCTTTTATCCACTGTAAGGATGTTATGTAACAGCAAATATTAAAGAGAAAGAAATATTGAGAACTTCACAAAATTCCGTCAAAGAAATATGTCCCACATTTTCTTAATATGTGGATGAATACATACTAAAATCCCATAAAGCGATAATCGTGTTGGCTTATTTGACTCCATAAGAACAAAAGGAAAAACCTTAGGCGCTGTTGCTGAGAAGTTTCTGGATTACATAGAGAATATTCCTTTTCTACCTAAACAAATTACAGTAACACGCTCTTTATGCCAACATTGGCATATTTTTTTTCTCGAATGTATTATGCAAACATTCATTGATCGTATTATATAGTTGTCTGATATAAATAAAGATTTAATTACACAATCTTGAGATTTACGTCCTTAACACGACAATCATAAGATCAGCCTGACGTAGATCAAGCAAGCACAAGTGGATTCAAGCAAACGGCTCAACACCGTTCGTTCAAAGGAGCAAGCCGGGCTCCAGCATTCTGATTTAGAACCCAAGGTCGTGGGTTCATCTGCTGCTCAAGCCTGCAAAGCGACTGAAATACCATAGAACAATAAGTTCTTTTCCGCGACACTCACCCAGATCCTCTCAAACGTTAGGGGGCAAATACTTATGCATTAGGGAACATTCAAATAGTGGACATCCCGACATAGATCCACATTCGGGAGTCGAGCAGAGAAACAGCAACGACCAGTCAACCAAATAGTACCGGCAGCACCAGATATTCAGTTCATTTGATTATTCCATCATTAAACTACTACAAAGTAGTGAATGACGTATCGGTTACCACAATAGTGATGTAGATTGCAGCCACCACTGCAGTTGATTTATCTTTGATGGATGCGCCATGCATTTGACTCCATTTACACGACCGACTTCACCTATAGATCACTCGTGGTGGTCTAACGATCTACTTTCAGCTTAGTTCAACTATCCTCCCAGACATGTTCATTATCAGTTTGCAGATACTATGAAAGGCTTAGCGAGCCCGAAGCTCAGAATAGCATTTGCGATCGATCCACCTTGTATTACAGAGCAATTGTAATAACCGTATTTCGAAATCGACTTTCCCTCAACCTCAGTGTAACTAATCCATATGTATTCTTTCTTTGATAAGCTTGCACGGGGTTGATAATTGTATTTATTTTCCGCTAATGATTCGACGTCTTCGTCTTCATTAGAGCCGTGATGATCCAAGTCGATGGTCCACGGTTGTTATTCGTCTCGATGTGGCAGCTTCGCCTTCGTGTCGAGTCAGGTCTTCCTCAGCGAGCCATCTCCTCGAATGACGCATACTCACTCGGTGAGGCCCTTTCATGCAGGTTGTTGATGGTTGGTAGCTGTGATCGTCCGGTGATAGTGTGATAGTAGTTTGTTGTTCCCGGACAATATATCAACCTCGAGTAAGCTCATCCTAGAAGGAAAACATATTCTAACAACTGTGCTAAACGAGAGCCTCGGTTCCATAATTGCCTACCAGTCTAGTGATGAGGACTTTGTTGAGGTATTGTCGCTTTGCGGCGAGCTATCTCAATGAAAAAAACAAGTAAAAGTCCAGTTGACAAATGTAAACTGTCGCCTGTCATGCTTCTCTGTGATTGGTGTTGTATTATTTGAAAAGTTTTGCGGTTTCCGGTTCGGGATCCACCGTTAAAATTCTTAGGTGCCATATATAGTAAAAAATGAAAAATTCACTTAATCATAATTAGTAGCAATGTCTTCGGTAGTCAATAATAGTTCTTCTTTGGTTAACGGACTCTTTGCAGGTTGTTCTTAATCGTGAGTAAAAGGTCCAACTGCAGTGTTCAACAAGGAAGCTCGCTTCCGAGCACGAACGACTAAGCTAGGAACAACTTTAGCATTTCCACAAAAAAACTCAGAAGAGTGAAAATCTAAGCCTTGTTTCTGTCGTTAGAATCTTTCTGATACATGACTCGTATTTCTCACTTGTCTCTAAGCACTGCTCGGTCAACACTGGCTGCGAACGTCACCGCCAACGCGTAGTAGATGAATGAAGTGGTCACCGTAGCCGCTATCGTTCCACTAGGTATGGACCGTTGTGGATCACGTAAATCACCTAGAAGGCTGTTAACTCATTCATCTCTAATATAAATAAAAACACTAAGAAGGAAGAGCCTCTCAACGGTTTACCGCTTTATCGTGGTTGGGAGGTGTTCCTGGGTGTCAGACTGCAATGAACAGCGGAGGATTCATCTCCTGGCAGGGTCTCCCAAGCTGAGAGGGAGTCCGGCGTTTCCATCAGAAAGCCTAGCTAAGAGTAAACCAATACCAGGATCCGCCACCGTCCTGGTATCAAAGTCGCATCGTATGGTGGCAAATCTCCTTTTGATCCACAAGGGCTGCGACCGCCAGTGGTGGTGAAGAATAGGGGCAGACTTTGGCCAGGCTGAGCTCAGGATTCCAAGGAACCACAATGGCTTAACCAAAAAATCTTCGAAAAATGAAGATTATGCTGAAACTCATACAACCAGTGAGGACGGGCCATTCAAGTATCAAGTATCAGGTAAGGAAGAAGGAACAGAAGAATGAAATATTGCAAACACTGAAATATTCGCAAAACTTGGACCCCGGGCGATATCGACCCACGACTACCCTGTCCAGAGGCTCGCGTAATACACACTGCGCCAATGAGGCTCTTTCTCTGGTTTCTCTCAGCTAGTTCTCTACCTTACGCCGCCATCAACAATCATCCGTTAGCGGAAGCGATTCCCAGATCAGCAAATAAAATGTTAACATTGTGATTTCGACTGAAGCTTCAGCTTAATGGGGTTCAATGCTTTTTTGTGCTCGCCAGATACCCGCTGACGGGTTATTGCTCATGGCAGCGTTAGGTAGAAAACTAGCAGAGAAAAACGCAGAGCCAAGGTCTATTTCGTGCAGTGTGTAATGCGTGAGCCCTCGAAAAGGGAAATCGTGGTTCGATCTCTTCTGGGTCCAAGTTTTACGAATATCCCAACATCACTGTGGTTGTATTTCACATCATACCTTACCGTGAAAACTATAGTTGGCAGCAAAGAAAAGGTTAACATTTCAAACGCTATTGACTAATACTATTGATGTATACGACTGCAGTCCTAGTAGTTTTGTAATTCTTCTCAGGTGGCATCCTTGAATTTGACATGTGAAAGAAATAGTAGTTTGATGAGACTAAGGCTATATTTTGTCTTTAGTGCAGAGCTGGCCTATCAAGCTATAAGAGCTGTGATAATTCTGGGCTTGATGGGCTTGCATGGAAGCAAATTGAAGAGCGCGTACATGAAGGCACGGAGGATACGACATCTCCGGTTGTTTTCTCTTCTGTTAAAGAATCGTGAGCCGTGCAAGTGATCAAGTTCACATACAGTTCAAGGAACTGCTATCTCCTCTCTTCATTAAGGTGTTGAATGCCGCTTGAACATTTGGGTTACTTAAATCCTGACCGTGCTAGAACGCTCTCTTGTCTTAATCTTTAGCTTTCACGGATATTTATAAACCAGAGAGCGAGAGAGAAAGAAAGGAGGAAATAGGGAAAAACGGAAAAAAGACGGAGAGAGACTTTCTACTCTAAGACTAGGAATCGTGCAAAAAGGGCAGCGAATTCTTAGGGTTGGGAAAAGCCGAGAAATGTTTCGAGAACTATGCAACAAGCCATCTAATCCTATATTTCAACCAAGGTATTTTTTAAAAAAGGAGAATAGTGAGTGATAGAACAGGCATTCAAAATCGACGAGTGCCAAGAAAAACTAAAAAAAACATTACCGATTGCTCACCGCTCATATTAGTGCCGGTCATGATACCTGTCACAGCTGGGAAGTAAATCGCTAACAACAGAAAGAACGTCGACGTCACATCCTGAACCACTTCTGCGTCCTGCTTTCCAGGCACTCCAGGAAGGACTTCGTCCCTTTCCATGTAGCCGGGGTTCAAATTGCCTAAAATTGGTACTACGACCGACTTTCCAAAAAATGCTGTTTTTGTTATTCGAGTACGCTTGCCTACATACAAACCTAAAAAGGTAACTTTCACATAAGTTTAATTTCAAATCTCTTTAAGTTTCTTTTCACGTTTTTTATGTTTCAACTGCACTTTCGGAGATCCGGTAAAGAAAACAACGCAGAACTACAATTACTGACTTCGCATCAGAAAGAGATTGTGGTAGTGACGAACCTCGTAGAGTAGTCATATTGAATCCGGGAAATCCTTGCGTGCATGCGATTTTCACTTTAGTGTATTCCGAGCAAAACACACCAGAATCACAAAAAACATGTGTAAGACTGAAACGCATGAATTTACTACAATTCATAGAACAGAAGCTGATTCTCACTAGCTTTAACCTTATATGGCTAAAGAACTGCTTAATGAGGACAATTCAGTTCAGCTACATTGTTTGACCTTTTCTGATTAGTAATTTCAGCGATAAAAATACTTTCGCGATACAAAAAAAAGTTTAAACACGAATATTATACCCTGGGCTTTTGTCGCAGACGTCGCAAATAGTGGGTTCTGTGTAGTTTGAGTGCGAGGAATCATGACTTATGTGCGAAGAATTGTGATTTTTGTAGAGTACCGCCGATTGGATCAGACGATTGTCGAGGGAGCAAACCCTGAATTACGTTAGCAAACCATTTTGCTCTACTGTTCGTTCTTGTTGTTTAATATGAAAAGCGTGCACTATTCATATTTTACGGCAGAGAAAATTAACAGATAGAGTCGACGATGATATTGTACGGGCTACATTCTAATCAATATAGGACTACTACCATGTACATCGAAGTATTCTTGGCATGGTTATACAATTTTGCTTTCTTGTGTTATTGAAAGGCTCTTGTAGTGAGGTATCCACCCAGATCTTGCAATACACAGAGGATCATAGCTCGATCCCATGCCTTAGGCTAACCAAGCCTTCGATCTCTCCGGAATAGGCAAAAGAAGAACCCCAGAACGTCAGCATATAGGTCAAATGTGGGCCCAATACACGTATAATGCTTGCTTATTTGTGTCAAAAAAGCACCTTCGCGTTTTATCATAATAAGTTCTTCATAAGTACTTCCAATCTTCCATGGAAGAGTCTGATCAGCTGTGGGTGCCAGTAGATCGAAAATCTTTTGAAAAGCCAGATTCATCACACTTGGAAAGTACCGTTCTCTTTCTCACCGTTGACTAAATCGTATGCGACGACGTCTAATTCTGTTATTCGTTTTCTCCTACTCAACTTTGGAGCTAAGTCGTTGTGTTGATGGTCATGTTGACTTCCCGAAATAAGTAGAAGCGGTTGAAGTCTTCCCAAACGCTTGTGAATGGAGCATAAGCAGCCAGTCCGTTCCCCATAAACATCGTTTTTGAGAGATTTAGTCGAAGACCAATTTTTCCTCAGGCGTTATCAAAGTGGGCAGGCATTCATTCGGCTTGGTTAATGCTCGATAATAAAAGAACGACGTAAACAGCAAGGGGAATATAATGTAATTGCCGACCAGCGATTTTCACATACATTTTGTCCCTATCCAATGTTCACAAGATGTTTTGCAGCGTGGCAGTAAATAATTTTGGCTAGGCGGTGTCTCCTTCCTAAATCCTCTTTTGATATCGACGTTGCTGTCGTTATAGAATGGCAATATTTTGGTTGTGAAATCTTATATATCTCACCAAGCATCTTTATATACTGAATAGGGATTTCCTGCGTGCCCAGGCATTCCATAAATTTTTAGATCAAAATTTTCTTTTAAATCAATGAACGTGATGCAGAGCGATCACTGACACTCTCGCAATACTTCAATGAGTCTTGTTATCGTGTGGATGTGGTCCATTATACTGAATCCTTTTCGAAGCCTTGTTCGCTCAAATGGATGGCCTTCGTCCAGTGTTCTTTCAACCCTGTTTAGGACGCCTCGAGTAAAGAATTTGTAGGCGAACTCTTATTTAAGAATAGCACTGTCTTTCTCGTCTTCTACTGAGCAAGGACTGCACATCCAGACAGGTAACGTGTGAAGAGCCAGTGTGTTTACGAGAACTGGTGGAAGGTTTTTCAGGTGTTCTGATCTTATCCTCTCCAGACCTGGTGTTGTTCGATTCTTCACCGACAAAAAAAAATAGCAGTTCGGACTTAGAGACGGAAAATGGGTAGAACGACATATCTAACCCCCTTTATTTCGTATAAGGGCGGGAGGACGTGGCAACTCTTCAGTAGTAATGAGTAGTTTGCTCTGTTGCCTTTTTGGAAGCCGTAACTGTTCCGTCCGGGCGTCGGAGTGCAATCATCTTGGTTTTGTAACCAGCGATGTCTCCGTGGGCTTTGAGAATAGTTTCCCATTCTCTGCAGCTTCGACAATAGCTGCTGCTGTTCTTTCTTCAAGATCTTCATTTACCGTCTGGGACACAAACGCTTCTTTGGTAAGCCCATCGCATTCCTCGTCGAGGTTATCAATAACATCACCTTCCCGAGAGTCGACTAATGAGCTGAATAAGGTCCACTTTTCTATGGTTTTGGGACTTTGCCTTTTGAACTTCCCACCTTACTATCTTTCTGCGAAAAATAAAATTTTGAAGTAGGCGATGGTATAATCTCGTGAAGAATTTTGAGAGAAAAACGACATCGGTAAGGAAAAGGTTCAATTTGCTATGATATGGTATACTTCGTTGTAGTACTCTCCACTGGAAGATTCTCACGTCTAGCTAGCTCACAGCGGGATTGCTTAGCTGCTATGAATAGCTTTGGCCGCCATAATAAACTCGCACAGCCGCTCATATTGCCCGTTTTACTCGAATACGTGGGTTCAATCTGACGTTCTTGAGGTGTTCCCTGGTTGGGGCATTAAAATCTCCAATGGTCATCTTGAAGAATGTGCAATATTCTTTGTAGAACTTCTCCAAGTTCATATAAAACGCTTCGACTTCGCCTTTCTCGCAGCATAGCGTCGATGTGCTGACGACGAAGGCTGTCAAAGTCGGCATTGTTTCATCTGTCCTCATCCGTAGATATCCGATTCGGGTTGTTAGCTGTTTGAATGGATCGGTCTTCGTGGGCGAATTCGTGTTGACAAGAAAGCCGTCGCCATTGACTCTTCCAGTATCCCACGTTTCGTTAGAGTTCGTTTTCGGTGTCATAGACGGCGTTGAGTGCGTGGCGTCTTTTCGTCTCGGCTAATCCAATGACACCGTACACTATACTTCATGTCTGCATGATTAGGTCCTCTTTAGAGGACTCAGATGCAAGTGGACGTGAATTGTAGGCACAGATCGACACCATAATTCTTCGAGATTCAGAAAGCTTAAAATGGCTCTGAGATTTCAGCATATTTTCCATAGCAGTTCTGCCCGACACTGCCGGATCGGCGGCTCTTTCGATGTGAGTGCTAAAAGGCTCATTTGTTTTACAGTGTTTGCCACATAATACCCACGAATAGTTTGCTGAGCTTTGAACGTGGGGGTTGCTGGTTTTCATATAGTTCTTCTCCACTTTATTGCAGGTTTTTGGCGGAATCAACTTGTAAAATATTATCCGCATTAAGGAGAGCACACTCAAATACAAATGCATAAATATATTTCCGTAGACACATAAGCAATTTGTCCAATGGACGCAGCACGGAAACGCAGGAAATGTATTCCCTGGATCAACCTGAATCTTACAAAAGCATAAGGTCTTTTTTGACCCGCGATTAACCCTTTGTCCGCCACTTGAGGACTCGTCGCATTGCGTCATGACTATCCGGCAAGAGAGCCCTTAATGAGGGAAATCGGTGGATGAACACATATGTTTGGAAGAACGTATTTGGTATATAAACTAAGAAAGCGGTTAGCGCTGCAGTAAATTTTCTGGGCAACAATATATGTAAAGCCCCTGTTCTACATCGCTCAGGGCAAAAAGAGTCCCACATCCCTTTTCGCGTTGGGATATTGGTAGCTAACATATTTGAGGAAATGCCACCGCCGCCGAGCCACAGTCGATGACAGCTATCAATGCTAAAGATATGGGAACGCTTTAGTGGACTTCCTTCAGAATTTAAAAAAATTTATTCAATCATCACTCGACGACACTCCCAAAGAGAAAGTCCTCAACCAGCCGCCGAACCGACATTCGTAGAGTTCCGTTAAATTATGGGTCCAAGGAAACGATTCGAATTCAAAAGAGCTAAGGTCCGAACAATAAGTGATGTCCGGGTCATGTAAAAAATAAAAATAAGAAAGTACTGATGGAAAACATGCTCTCATATTATACTGTTATGCTATTCAAACAATCATGTGTAAAAGCTTCTCCCTTCCGTTCTCGTTTAAGGGTTTTGTAGATAAATAACTATTCTCTACCAATTTCAACGTACTTCCTCATAACTAGAGATATCTAAGGAAGTAAATCGGTGGAAGAGCTCTTCTCAATGTGTTCCCATCTCGAGTGGTAGTTTTCCTTGTAAGGTCGTAAAAGCAAAAGATGATCACCGTTGGCCCTACATTTCTCCCACTCGTTTAGAGCTATGGGGACCACGACCTCTTATTGTTAGCTTTATCTGGTAATCTTATCTAAATCTCTATATCTAAATCTAAAAGGCTTTACCTTTTCTTTTTCGAAGAAATTCGTAGTCTTCCTAAATAAATGTTTAAAACGCAATTCACTTTCTTGGGCACTTACATCTGTCCTGAGCCCGTAATCGCTTTCTCAACTCCTCCAGCGAAACAAGCCAATATTGCCAATATAACGCACATCAACGAAACCTGTGAAGAAGATGCTTTCCAGATCTACTGCGGCTAGAAGTTTATCAAGTAAGGTTTTAGTAAATAAAAAATACATTGTCTGCTTCTTGCAGATCTATAGAATATAATAAAAGAATTAAACGATTGAATTGTTAAAGCGTTTAGCTTTTGTCAATTCATCAACGATGTGTAACGTATCCGACTCCCTTCGTAGCATCACAAAGGTGACCGAATGCATATGTGACTTAAAAAATGACATACGGTGACCTACGGATGCCTCGATGCAGTGTTTTTATCTTACCAGAGAGGTCTAGCGCCAATTTTCAGACCCAAGAGAGATGAAAGCCTTGGTTAGCCCGAAGGATCCGTCCGATGTCCGAAGGTGGATCGTTTGTCGCACAAGCGATTTTAACAATGTAATGGTAGATTAGTAATGTACTGAGCAGTATATTTTTGCCAGCTGATGAGAGATAAATCCGAAAAAGTAGAGAGCCAATCGTACCGGCGCCAATAATTGAACGAATTTCACTCCCATGGCCACAATGATAACTTGAACAAGAAGGAATATAGTGCCGTAGATTCGATAGTTGTTGTAGAGCGATCCAAACGCTGTAAATACGAATACAGTTGGCTGTCAAAGAACCAGAGAATTTCTTACATTTAATACTAAGTGTTAAGGAGATACTGGTTAGATTTTTCTCTATCAGTGAATTGTAGTCAATATTCCCAAGACCGACTTTCTGTTAACCTCGGCATTGAATGATAATTCGATGTTTTTATTCAATAAGCAGACACGAGGTTGTTCTTACTTACAACGAATAAACGGTAGGTGTTAAATTAAGCTGTTTCTTATACGAATACAAATTTATTGGCTAAGTTTTATCTGCAGGGGTTATGGAAGTGTTTGGCTGGGTAGATCGCATCTCAATTCGACCTTTCCAGGCTCTGAAAAGGGCGAAACCGCCGAAACGTCAGCTATTGTATCCTAATGAATCCTGTAATAACAACCTCGTGTCTCCTTATTGAAGAAAAACATCGAATCATAGTCAATATGTTTACAAGCAAAGAAAGTAAATGAAACGTCGATCAGATTAATTCGAACAGTTAAGAAAAAATGATCGGCTAGCAGCAAAAGACTCGGTATAAATAAAATTTTCGTAAAGAATACGATATATTAAAGGAAGAACAGTTATGCTAACGGTCGGTGTCGTGCAATGCTTCTCTACCACCAATCGCCATGTCAGGAACGATGTACATCTGAACATTAATGACATTAACGTAAAATGACTCCATAAGAAATTCACTTAAGAAACGAGTGTCAGATGCGAGTAACAAAAACAGTCTTTTATAGAAAGACGTTTGCTGCTATTTATAGAGTCTAAGTTCGCTGCTATGTGAATTCTACATTCGGTAAGCTTCCAGTGAGTTTTTCGAGGTCTCTCAACTATGAAGAATGTCTTCAACTACGAAGTAAGGACTTATATAAAAACTCGTAAAATGATCGAAAGTAGCTTAATGGCTACATAACACTATGTGAAAAACCTGAATTTGTTTTATAAATTAAGGACGTCGTGTAGAAAGAAAACACTTCAAGACAAACTTACCAACAAAACTTCGACACCTCCAACGATGTACATCGAAGCAGCAACGGTGTTTGCCAAATAGAACAAGATACCAACTGCTGAACCGAATTCCGCTCCCAAATTTCGACTGTAACATTTGCTATTGAATAGTTTTTTCACGTCTTCTTAACAATCTATGGTGGTGGTGAAAACAACCGTCGGCGTCAAATACAACTATGAATAGATATCGAATTGCCTTGCTTATTTCGATACCTGGACGGCCTCTCTTCACTGGTTGTGCGGGCTTCCGCACAATCTCCACTTTTTCGGAGTTTTCTCTGTTTAGCCATTATGGTTTCATGGAGTTCTCAGGTCAGCCTAGCCAAGGTCTGCCCCAGATCGTCACCACCCCAGTCCCTGGTTCCGTGGATCAGAAGAAGATTTGCCACTATGCGAATAGTTTGATACCGGGACGGTGGTGAACGTCGGACTCGTTCTCAGCTTGGGAGGCTGCTGGAAAGATGAACTCTCCGCTGGACATCGTGTTTCCACACTGAGGAACACCTCCCAGTCACGATGAGTGGGTAGAGCTTTGGAGGGCATTGAATTTTCAGAAGCAATAGTCGATAACCATAAGTTATTATGTAATGGTGGCTATCTAGTTTTGGGACATGAGTAAGTCATAAGAAGGTGAAGCGTCTTGCGTCGATCAATCCCTTAGGCCATTCAAATCCATTCGTTTGTATCGTAGAAGTCACCGAATTGATAATTGGTCAAGATCATTTGAGGTTCCTACCGATCTATGAAATCGGTGTTTTTATCATCCCAGGCAAGTCTGACGCTAAATACCCGCCTCTGGAATGATGGAAGGCTTGGCTGGTTCAGGGCGCTGGAATGAATCAGAGATCGTGTGTGTGCTGCAGGACCAGTGCGTTGCACGGCCGTTATCAACCGATATTAGTGAAATATATTCGTATAAGACACTGACAGACATTTAATTTACATCTCTAGTTGCATATTTCCACACTATGGCGAGAAAAAGGCTTATACTACTTCAAAATAATTTCTTTTGGCGAACCTGATAATGAAATAAGCACCGCCACTTTCGACGACTCCATTCGTGGCGACGGCCGAGAGAGAGATTGACGTGAGTAGAGTCTGTAACAACTCCATTCATTGTTGTTGTTCTGCAGTTCTTTCGTTTGAAAATGACATCTGTTGCTTCATATAACAAGCTGAGCTTCTCCATAGTTAACAGAGGAAACAAAGAAAAAAGGCGCGAAAAAATCGTTGAATCCATGAATCGATGAATTTAGTTTATTTATAAATGCTAATTTGCAATGGATAACGTTTAGCCATTTGCTACAAAAAGCTCTTAAGTGGTTGAAAATTGTATCAGCCGATATTGAACTGACACAAGTACAGCAGATCGCCAACAGGACCATCGTCCACCATAGTCCAGCCATTCCGACTACCCAAAACAGACGAATGAACATCGTCACACCGAGAATGTGCTGAATTGTTGGTAGATAGACACCAAGCATCACGCCGAGATTCGCCTGAGAGACCACAGATTTTTTTCAATACATAATTAAGTAAATATTGATAGCATTCGTTTTAGCTCCCACGACCGACTTTCTATTAACCTCGGCATTGATCAAGTAATTCCTCGTATTTTTGTTGAGGAAACGCGAGGTGTTATTATTCTTTATTCACGAATAAGCTGACGTTTCGGCGGATTTCGCCTTCCTCAGAACCTGGAAAGGTCAAGTTGATAGCAATCCACTCGGCCAGACGCCTCCATAACCAAACAAAGAAACTCTAAACCAAGATTTCAATCACATTGAGCACAGCTTTGCACACTCACCGCTTTCTATGAGGTTTCCACTAAGTATGTCACGTAGAGACCAACCGCACAGAAATCATATGGAAGCATAATGTGCCTATGCAGTGGAAACCTCATAGAAAGCGGCTCTGAGGAAGGTGAAATCTGCCGAAACGTCAGCTTATTCGTGAATAAAGAATAATAACACCTGGCGTTTGCTCAACAAAAATACGAAACATTCGTTTTAATTGTGATTTTGTCATACAAATTACAAACAAGTACGCGGTAGTTATCATTGTTTTTCTTTCATTTTGCAAATTTTGTACAATGCTTTGAAAAAAGGCTCAATAGAAACTATGTGGTAGTAGTCGTTTTCGGACCGCTAAAATTATTGCCCTAATCTCGCTGGGACCATTACTTTCATTACTTCTGTCATAGTGAGACACTTTCATCCTACGAGAAATGTATCGGTCAAAAAATGAGCATTTACCATTGTGGATGTCTGTTTATTGTCACCGCTCATAATGCTCTAGGATGACTAGATCCAGAAAACTGTGGAAAAAATACGCGTCTAGAATGGGAATACCGATGATCTAATGGAAATGTTCTTAGGAGTTATTCTCTGTCGCCAAAAAAGTATTCAAGGGAGCATTCCACGCTTTCCTCTTGGCCCTAGTTACACATAAAGTTGGATGAATAAGATAAAATTAAAAGTTATTTCATCGACCTTTTTGTGATTGCTGGTGGCGCGTTCCATCGGTCCGGGTGTGGTATAGGCAGAAATGAACGACGCCTGATGTTCATCTTCTCCATGCTGTTTATAAAGTGCCAGATGACCAAAGGTGGCTGTAAATTTGCGACTTCCTTTATAATTTTCCGGGATCTCTTCACCAATCGAATCAAGTGATCTGTTCGCATTTGCTGCAAAAGTGAATACTTTAAGAAAACAGGTAATACCGAGAGATTAGAATCAAAGGTAAAAATACGCTGGAAAGAAAATATGAAAAAAAAACGTTAAAACGACTACAAGTAAAAATTGCTATCTTTCACAATTCTGGTAATTTGTCTCGCAAATTTCAATGAAGTCGTTAATTCTTTGATGCTTTGTTCTAGTGAAAGCAAGCACATTGGGTGATAGTTGCCGATATCGTGCCGGTCAGTCTTCTTGAACAACACCACGGTCTTGCTACTCTGCCACGGGTAGGAACCTTGCATTCAGAAAAGTGACGTGAAAAGAACCAAGCTAGTGGGCTTATGTAGACTGCCGTAAGGTTCCTCAAGTGTTCAGATATTATCCTGTCTCACCGTGATGCTGTGCGATTGGTCGCTGACGAAATAGCATGTTTGTTTTCGGAAAGGAGGACCCGGCGGTACTAGACATCTTCATTAATTTCACACTAGGGCAGGAAGAAGTGGCAATTGAAGGGATCAGAGTAGTAATCGTGAATGTTCTGCGGTATTGTGTATCTTGTGTATCTAGTGTCTTTACATATTGTTTGTGAAGGGCGCAAGTATAGAAGTGGTCAGAGACACCCGGCAACATACATGGAACCTATCACCGTGTCCCAAGCTCGTCAAACCCTCCACGTTTCCGGAGTCGGCAAATTGGTGCCAGACTTATCTAGGAGGATAGCAGCACTGGCTCGATACATCGATGAGCCACCGCGAGTTGTAAAGGTCAGACATGCATTCAGTCACCTCCAACAACGCTTAATGAAATGGAATGCATAGAGCACCTCTCAGAGATTGATCAACGCCGAGAGCTTCAACCAGAGCATGATTGCTTGTGAAATCTCATTGAAAACCGCTCCGTCTATGTTGCCTATGAGTGCCATTCTCGATAGTGATAAGTGACGTGGTTTTAAAATCTTGAGATACCCGTTTATTATTGTGAGTTAATCAACAGTTTAATTCCATAGAGCCCAAGTTTGGCTGCGACTGAACTTAACCATCGATGGGCTCTGGCTGGTTAGTGATCGTGACGCTTCTGAGGAAAATTGGCTCAGGAAAAAAAGAAGCATGACCTGAATTGAGCGAAGAATTTGCAGTAAGTATTTTGTGTTACTTCATTAGCCAATGTTTTGAATTTTTTTCTTTACTTTTTTACAGTTTCTCGTTATCCATCGTAGCCTTCCGACCCAACGATTAATGTTTCCGGCGGTGAGAGTCGTCTTCAATCAAGTAGCACTCCAAAATGGATTTGAAGAAGGTGGAGACGTGAGGACAATGTTGTATGAATGTTGCTGCTAACGAAACAAGTAAGTATATAAGTCCTCTCTTTCAAAAGTTATTTTAAATCTTTTACATAGTTTAGTTCTGTGCCCTCTTTTGGACGCCTACTGTTTTCTAAGCACACGGAGGATCTACTGCGACTGAGTGCACCTAATTTCGGTCGACGATCGCTGTAGTTTACGAAATCCTTCCAACGGTTTACCGCCTCATCATGACTGGAACGCGTTCCTGGGTGCCGGACTGCGATGTACAATCGGAGATTCATCTTCTGCCAAGGTCTCACAAGTTGAGAAGGAGCCTAGCGTTTTCCATCAGGAAACCTAGCTAAGAGTAAACCAATACCACGACTCACTGCCGTCCTGCTGTCAAAGTCTCATGGTGCAAATCTTCCTCTGATCCACAAAGGCTGCGACTGCCTGTCGTGGTGAAGACCTGGGCCAGACCTTGTCCAGACTGACCTCGAGATTTCAGGGAACCACAATGGCACAATGGCTTGACCAGTAACTCTCCGAAAAGTGGTGTTTGTGCTGGAACCCGCACAACTAGTGAAGACGGGTCGTTCAAGTATCAAGTAAGTAAGTAACACATAAAGACTTCTCTCGAAGGCTTATTCTTTAACATAGATTGCGTTTTTAGAAGTATGTATGTCAGGGTGTATCGCCGCAAAATGAACTTGTCGGCCAGAGTGTTTTTTTTTTGTAAAACATTGTGTAGAGGAGGGGTTTTCGAGTCTCATATCTATTACATTGACCTACTTTCGATTAGCTATCGAACTATACATAGCGCAATAGAAAAAAAACTCTGAAACCCACTAAACTGAGTATAGACAACAATGTGCGTACGGTCGTTTGGTCTAAATCGCCATGGGCACCATAGTGCCCATACGAGGCGTTATGGGTCAAAATAGGACGAAGTTGATAAAAAAAAGTTATTCGGATGACGTTTCGACGTCTTCGGCTTCTTCATAGCCGGAATGATCTTAATCGATGATCCATGAGGGTTGATCACTCTCACGATGTGGTTGTTCGTTGTCGAGCCGAGTCGAATCCAATAGATTGGAGCACCGAATGTGGAATCTCGCTCGACGGTGGATTACACAGCACCGACATTAATCTGCTGCTATGCAAACTGATTTTTGGAGGCAATGCATTCTGCAGCAGTCGGTACTTCATTAGTTGCCATGTGGCGTGACAATATCTTAAAATCAATCTGCACTGAAATACTATACTTGGGTTTGAAAGTCGTATCATTCGAATCTGCTGTAGACTATGCTAAAAATTCTCAGCTAAGGTGTCAACCAACATTCCAGTCGCATAGGAAAGTACTGTCTGCGAGCTAAGTTCCACTAGTCGGTCGGTAATTTATCTGGGTGCTCTGAACGCCATATTTTTTTGCACATCTCCTCCTTCATATCCCTTTCCATGATAGTTTATTGAAAGCGCTAACTAGAAGAAACCTCACTGAACGAACCAAAACCATTCACCCGGATGGTGTAGTGGTGAAGGGCGCTGCTCCCCGGTATGGACAACAGCGCGTGTTCGTTCTCCACTGCATACACCTGTGGTCCGGAGTTTTGCAAATATCTCAGCATTTCATACGAGTTATAATTCAAAACCATTCATATCGACCTCTTCTCCTTTTCCACACTGTGCTTCCAATTGGGCTTCCAAAGGATTGTCTAGACTAATCATCATCTAATCAGCTCTACGATGCTACAAATTAGCTCGAATGCAGTCGAAATCAGAGGATCTACTAACGTCGAAGGCAGCGTGGTGAGTGCTGATTTTTTTCTTATACGTATTCTTATTCGAACAACTAACAATCTGAATCGGACGTTCACGATTGAAGAGATGTGGATCAACACCGGCTTTGACAATCTTCTTCGTTTACGCGTTGACATCAAACTATGACAAAGAGGAAGTGGAAGCGTTTTGTATGGACTTGGAGATGTTCTGCAGGGAAGACGGTACATTCTTCAAGGTCAAGGTTATTGGAGATTTTAACGCCAAGATTGAACTAAGAAGAACGTCTGAGGAACGTCACATTGGGACCCACGGATTAGAATGGAACGAACAGTGTGAGCGGTTGCTTGAGTTTATCATGGCGACCAAGACCACCCATGGTAACTCGCAATACCAGAAGCCCCACCCTCAACGCAGAACGTGGGAATCTTCCAGTAGACAGTACCATAACGAAATACACCACATTATAGTAAACAGAAGGTTGTGCCTAACCGATGTCGATGTTGTCTTAAAACTCTACACAGATCAGACAATCGCCTCCTTCGTGCAAGATTCCATTTCTCGGAGAAAAAGCCACTAAATTCAAACAACAATGTCCCAAACCACCACTGGGACTTATTCGTTTCGTTAGTCGGCTGTTCGAAAGATGCCGTTGTCGATAACATCGACGACGAATACGATCGGCTCATTCAACATCTTTACGTTAGCGCTGTGAAAGCTGAGAGTTCAAAAGTCACCAAGAGACGTCGGTCTCTAGAAACTCTCGGGCTGACACGCCAGCGTGGAATCGCACGAACTGCAAGCAACCGCGAATTAGCCTCCGAACATGCAAAATAATGCAGACAGGTGATAAAAGCAGAACTCACTGGGCTGCTCTTGCATAGGACAGGGAAAAACGGAAGGTTTACTGGCGCCCGCTCGAGTCAGTCGACGATCAACGGGACTACAAGTGATAAGGTATTCTTATAGATATCACCTGCTCTGTTCGTTTTCCTTGGTTCGAAAGCTTCGTTGATTGCTTCGAGAGTGTCAGTCGATCTACAAAACCTAACTCTTTCTCACGCCTCATCTCCCTCTTCATCCTCTTTTCGTTCTCTATTAGACCATTAGCTTGACTAGTCGAAGATTATCATGAGCCTATATTTTCATTCGTACCAAGCGCACCTCATAACTGGTTTTGGAGGATGTATAGTAGTTATCGAGCAAACATAGCCATCACTATCCATTCATCCATCCCATTTCATGAAGGTGGCATCGATTAAGCAACGGGAAAACTTTACCTGTACTCCGAGTAGAGGCAAAGTCAATCCTATGCAATTGCATCAATATCACTATACTTATGGATGGATAAGAAATACATCTTTAAAGAGCAGAAAATAAATATGTAGTTGAAAAGCAGGAAAAAGTGTTACAAAAGTGATAGATCTCCATACTTCGTCTATGTTTGGTGATAGCACATAGAAACCAATTCGAAATTGGATAGAAACAAGAGAAGAAAGGCAACGAAAATAAATAGCAGCGATTGCGAACGGAAGGGAGGAAGGAGGAAGAAGGGAGGGAGGGCGAAAGGACAAAAGGAGTAGTACACACATAGAGAGAGGGAGAAAGGGAGAGCAAGAAAAAGAGACGGCGAAGAAGATATGGAGAGAGGAGGAGAGAGAAAAAGGAAAACATGCAGCAGATACAGTTGGAAATAAGAAAGGGTAGAAATGGAGAAAAAAGGATGGAGAGAGAGAGAGGGAAGAAGAAACCAGATGGAGTGAAAGGAGAGAAGATGTAATGAACCGAGCGAGGAAGATAAAGAGGGAAAGAGAAATAGGGATGAGATTCAAAGGATCGCAGACGAAAAGCGAACTTTGATGTGATTTAAACGGATTTATATATTGAAATGACTTGAAATGATACGAAGTCGGATGAGCTAGACCTACTCCAAACACATTAGTCGCTTAAAACTTTAATACTAAAAAGAAAATAAACGACATGAAAATCACTGGATTGAAATACTTTCCCCAATAGTTTTTAATTGCCTTTTACACCAGTGATTTTTCCCAAGCAAGATACCAGTAAAAGAGACGGGCAGCACAGTGGTAGTGATGTCCGTTATCACGACCATAGTGCTTGTTCAATTCCGCTCTGGGCCAACCAAGCATCTCGTCTCCCTGGAGTCGGGAAATTAGTGCTAGACTTGTCTGGTAAAAAAAAATTGCTCTCTGCAATCCAATTGGGAACGCTCCAGCCCGGCTATCTCAGAACTTCAGAGAGAATTGCTTGACCAGTATTCTACGACATCCAAGATGAAATGGAAATCCACAAGCATCAACCGAAGCCACGCTTAAAGTTGGAAGATCGTCGTGGACAATGGATGCGAGGAAACGAATTTGATGTGAGAAGTGCTAGGATCCGCACAGCAGACGTGAAGGCGGATCAAATAAAAAAAAAGTAGAAAAGATACCAGTTAGTTATAGGAACAGCAGAACTCACTGTTCGATTTCACAGTCTCGAGGGTTTCAGGATTCAGCTGTGTCACTGTGCTGAATCTTCTCCTGAAAACGACTTATCTATTCCGGATCAACTTGTCATTTTATAACCAAATTTGCTACTTTCAGATTTTTGAAACATAAATTTTCCAGCAGATCACGATTTCCATAAGTGTAATCTATTTTGCTATGAATTGCATTAGAATTAATAAAGTCCTTCATGAGAT